AATGCCAAGTCATACTGCTCTTTAATTTGGCGAGTCACCTGTCCCAGACTTATATTAGAAACTGAAAAGGAAGATTTCAGGAAAGACATCACTATGCACAACGATCAAGACCACAATCACGTATATGAAGGTACAGCTCTCTTACATTAAACAAGCCATTTCTCTTCTTTCAAGGGCCAAGAAACATTTTAATTCCAGTGTTCAAAATGCCCTTGTAGAGGAGGGAGAAGAACAAATTTCAGAGCTGTAGTTCCACTCCATCCTACTTAAATACAAAGGGATCCCAGCTTGGGGCTTGCACTGAGTTAGTAGACTACACGAATCAAAATATCCTTCTAGAAGAGTCCCAGTCCACCAAGAGCATCAGAGATCAGTCAGCATAAGATAGTCCACCACAAATGCTGTTGAGGTTTTCTAGGCTGTCAATGCTATTCAACTGGACACCAGCAATGGATACAGTCCACACTTTACAGTTTCCTGAGAAACAGCACCACAAAGACATGAGTTACTTTACTTGGCATTATTTAAACAACAAACGACCATACTTGGTCCCAGAATATCACCTGCAATGAACCCCAGGTCCTAATGAGACTGCTACAAAACACATCAGTACACAACAAGCACGTGTTCCTTGACATTCTTGTCACTAACTCTCACACCACCTACACTGTGCTCCACAAGCAGCAATTAACACCAGCCCCCATCTACACTCCACCCTCATGTGCCTGGATGAAGCCCTGTCCATGCGATGGAACAGAAAGAAAAAGCTGAGTATTACCCATAGGCAGGTGTCACCCGTCACAAGCAGCCAGCATACTGTACACTCTGCAAAAGAGCATCTCACACACTTCACACTGAAATGTAACAAATTCGGTTATTTAAGTGCCCCTCTACCCACTCCACCTCAGAACAGCTTTTACATACTAGTATTAAGAGGCAGACATAACAGTATCAGGATCTGTCATTTTCTGAACTCTTGAGCGGCAGTCATCTCTTTTAAGAAAAAAATAAACTTAAGACACTTTATCTATAGTTTAAGGAGGGATATAGATCTAATACTGGGAATTACTGGATAATGCACTGTAATTCTGTATCTTACAGCTTAATGGAAATAATAGAACATAAAGATGATGCTACACCAGACTACACAACATGGTTTTAGATGCCAGTCATTAGCTCAGCTGCTACCACACTGCTGGATAGTGACTCTTTGCCTTTATCATTCATGACAATTGTGAAAAGACTCTGAAAATGGCTAAGCAATAAGGTAAGGCTTGACCAGTCTTCATCAGCATTATGAAGGCTTCAGGTCTGTAGCTATAATCCAGAAAGGAGGCAGTGAGCAATAAAGCACGTAACTTCCATTCCCTTACAAACTAAAATTAAGCAAGTGCACAGGAGCATGAAAAGCTACAGAAAGACAAGGCAGAGCTACACAAAAACTATAGGCAGTGAAAGCAAAAAAATGCTCTGAGCTGAACACCAGGCTATTATATATGTTGAATGCTATTGAAAAATTCCCCCCAAGTGCTGCGATCTATGATAGATTTCTCCAGTTGGAAAACACTATGTTGATAAGTCAGTCTGTAGCAACAACTAAAAAAAAGTAGTATGTTTTGTAAAAGAACAGAGAAGTGCAGAAAATGCTACTGAAGAAGCTGATACACAGATCCATCTGAACAGGATTACCACTGCACACCAACCCAGAGATGCTGCTGTGAAGTTACAATAGGTTCACAAGCTGACAACAAGAATGAACAGAGGACTGGAAAAAAACTGGGTGAAAACGCTGCATATATTTCTGATCTCTTCTAGGAGGTGGAAATATTCCTAATCTCTTTACTTTCTTTTACAATACCAGAACACGTACAACAAGTAAACTAGGAGATAAGAAAAAACTGCAAATGTAACTTCTTCAGACAACAGGTTATTTGTCCCATAGAATTCAGTCACAGGATTTTGTCAGTCTTAGATAAAAGCAAGGTAAAAAAGGATGAGGGAATTCAACCAGCAAGATTTTTTAAAAGCTTATAAAATACAAGCTCATTTTGGAAAGGACACAAATTATTTCAAACAAGAAAACACCAGTTCCAGCAAGTGAGAACAAACTTCCTGTATCAGTCTACAACAAGGTCTCACACATCTAAAACATTCCATACAAAACTACTGGACTAGCTGGTTTGCTCACTTAATTTAAGTTCAGTAATTGTTGTAGCCTCAGTCACATTAACAAACCTGACATTTCTGCAGCCACTCATGGTTTCTCAAGACCATGAACTCATCTAAACAATATACAGCATGTTGTAAGAGAAGGCAGAAAACATGGTATATATGGCAAACTAAGTATGTCTTGTTCAACTATGCACATTTTTATAGGTTAAAGGTGACCTGCAAATCAATTTGTGAAACTTTTATCAATGCAAACAATACATATTATATGCCCCATTAGCCAGGCTAAGAGAACAGGGGTATCTAGTTTATCCATACAAACATTTTTCTTCTTAGGCCTTCAGAACTAAGAAGAAATACAGGGAGTGATACCCTGGAAGTGGGCTGTGGACTTTGTTTTTGAGTGGTGCTTACCTGACCCCCTGTAGGCCGGCTCCAAGCTCCAGCAGGATCCCAGGGTGATGTGACATCACCAGCATGGTGCATGGGAGGGTGTTACATTGGAGCGGGAGCCGGAGGTCCTAGTGGGGCTGGGCTTCCCAGAACCTAAGAGAAAGAAATAGTAAGCATTTTGGTTATGTGCTGAATGCTGTTCTCTGCTTAGCCTGGAGAATGAGAGCATTCAGCACAAACACTGAGCTAACGGCATCAAATTGATTTGCAGACCACCTTTATGGAAGTGACTTCCTGACCATTTGCCACAAATCTCCCTGTCCTTTCCTGGAAACAACATGCCTTGAGAGGAACATTTACAACGCTGTGAGAAGTGGGCTAGTCCCACTGTTCTTTGGCTGCACTGCCCTTACACATAGTGCCAGTGATCTTGCTTCAAGTCTTATATCAAACCCCTTTGTTACTGCAAGCATCACGCCTCTTTTCTGATGCTAAATATTAACACATCTTGTATCAGGATTACGCTAAGCTCTCCAAGCCTGTCATGATGAGAAATGGATGAATCCAAAGTCTCATGAAAGAACAGGTTTGAAGAATTCTATCCCCAAATTCTCCTCCATTTCAGGTGACATAAAGAAGAAAATGTATAGTTTTGTCCTTTTGTGTAAAAGGAGTCAGATTCATTTTGAGATACATCTGAGAGGTGAAGTCACTTAAGAAGCCCAGTAACATTCACATTTCTTCTTTTTGAAATTTTACTATCAGAGAGCACAAAAGGCAAGGTAATACACCACGGGCATTGATAAGCCAGAAACTGAGCAGCTGAAAGGGAAAATATATCTTAGCCATCCAGGGCAGACTTCCCCCGCCTTTCCCCCAAATTCCTCTGTAGTCAATTTATGTTCCAAATGGAGTCCTGATTCTCACCCCACCTCCCCAGGATTCAGCATCTCCCACCACTTGGGATATAACAATTCACAATGTATGTCTCAAGAGGTCCAAGGTGCCTCACAAAATTCCCAGAAGGCTGAGCATGTCTTCCCCCATATCCTTATGGTGAAAACCGGAACAAAAATACACCTTTTCTAACCATCAAAATCACCTAAAAAAGGTGCAATATTCTATACACCCCACGTATTGCATGTTTCACAAATATTCATCTGTAGTACAGTGTAAACTACAATACCTGTGCCTGCAGACCATGTCCTCTGTCAAGCAAATGAAAGAAAAACAGTAAAGCACATTCCAACTATGCTACTCCTACTGCAACCTGTTGTGCGAGTTCCTGCTCAGTGACATTTACAACTGAAGCAGTATACTGCTCAGTAATCAAGCAATACAGAGCCCTAAATCTAAAGTTGAGACTTAACAGACATTGGTGTCAAAAACAAGACAACAGTACAAAAGTACTGACTTTTTTTTTTTAATCACATCCCTGCTGGGGCACAGGTCTTCTACAAAATTAGATTCTTCCTTGAATTTTGAATTGAGATGTGTTACTAGCTGGCTACAGTGTTCAATGCTCCAAAATCAGAAGTCTGTCGAACCAACGAGGATATGTTGCCATATGCAGGCCCAGCTCTGGCTATAGCTTTCAACAAAGCAAAGCTGGAGAAATACTGCAAGAGATTGACTATTATATTTAAATTTTTGAGTCCAAAGACAACTTAAGGTGGTGCCAA